TTAGACTACTACTACCCCCGAGAGGCTTTTGTGGATAGACGTATGAGGTAGAATAGGTGACGAAGGCACCTTAAAGCCATCAGGGACATTGTGTTTTAAAAAATGAGCCTTATGTGGTAGGCCCGGTCTGTTCTCGAGTATTATTTTACCTCGTCTAAAATATTCTCCACAAAACAGGTTTTTGAATCCAAGCCGGTATTGCACAGAGTGAAAAGCGAAAATCAACGGATTTAAGAATGGATTGATCAATGCAATCACAATAGTAGAAAAATGCGCTGGAGTGTTGAGGCGAACCAGGTCGAAGGCGAAACACAAGTAGTAAATCTGATTTGGCAACCAACACAAAGCTAACACCAAGGTGGAAACAGTTGCCATCCGACTGATGTTGTTGCGCATGTCCTGTCCCATTCTGCGGCTCAATACTCGTGACTTTGCGGTTGCGTTCAAAACGCGTGTATACAAGTTGCAGTTTATCGCGAACGGGATGACAAATTTGAACGCGAATTGAGCAATCCCAAGGAACTTGTAGACAGCTGGCACAACCAAAGGAATCTTGGCGATTTCGCAGCGTTTTGAAGTTGCTCTTTCCTCTGGGTTGTATTTTACTTCAAACAGCAGCAAAGAGTTTGCAAATAGGGATAACGCCCATATTACAAAGGCCTCGCAGACAAGACGTTTTTTATGAAATTTTGCGCGGTATTGGAGAGGTTTTGTGACAGCGTACCAACGTTCTATGGCAAGTGCGACTGTGATGTAGATAGAGGTAGTTGCGCTCCAAAATGTTAAGAAGTGCGACGAAATAAGGCGACAAAATATCTCCCCACTTACTCTTCCCTTGGGCGCGGGAGGAATTTCTTCAAAGATAAATCCTGGTGTCAAAAAAGTGACGAATGAAACCAGCAAGTCAGTTATAGCCAGGTGAAATATATTCACGTTGTAAGGACTTCGAAGCATAGTTTTGTTTTTGATGTTCACGACACATACCATAAAACTCCCTATGATAGTACATAGGACATTAACAGAGAAACAGATGCGAAAAAATGATCCTTCCTTTTCTGAATGAGGAATCCGTTGTGAGAGAACACTGTCTTGTTTTTCTCTTGTATGATTCATAAGAAATTCCATGGTCGGTTGAGACGGAATTAAGGCTATGATCAATAATAAATTTTCAGACCTTGGTCTTGCCATGTTGCCGTTTGCAAAAATGCTCACGTTTTGCCGGCGAAGCTTTCTTAAGGGCAAAAGTTCAATTCCACGCAAGTGCAATTGTCCGATTTCTTTTGAAAGATAATTTCAGTAATAGCAAACAGCAAACTTGATTGGCTGACGCTGTACATTAAGCATTCACGAAGTTGTTGTGCTAAAATCAGGGAACCAATGAGAGAGCTTCTCCATGACGAAAAGATAACATAAGCAAAAAAAATGTAAAAATCATGTATGATTGTTTATAAATTGCCTTAAAAAAGGGAAAAGAAAAAATATGTTATCTTGGCTTCAATATCAAAAGTCATCATAGTTGATCCGATTTGTCAATTGGCCGCAGGAACCAATGCTTATTTGCGATAGTGATTTTTTATAAACGCTTTCAAGACTGCTTCAGTGAGGTTTGCCCGCACGGGAAATAATTAATGGTTGACAGTTTCTTCCTAGAAATTATATTCATATTTGGATATCGTTTCTTAAACCCTACACCTGTTTCTCCGTGTCATGCGGAGTTATATAGGCTAGCTTATTTAGCACGTTTTATGGTAGCCTCATGGAGAAATCAGTTAAAAATTGCGTGGTATGGAAAAGCTTTACAAAGTTAGCAAGTATGCTACACGATGGGCAGTGTAATCTATGTCTTTTGAAGAATTAATAAGCACTTTTTTTCTTATGCCGCCCTTGCTTAGATTTCGTCTTGATAAGCCAGTCTAACTAGAAACAAGATAGCCGTTTTATGCTACACCTGCCTGTTTGTAGTCCGTGATCAACACTTCGCACAATTTCGTTTTGAATTATCACTCTGTTTCGTGCAGTTGTGAATCGATAAAATTTTGCCAACGATTCAATCAGGCATTTCTACTTCGAAGGAATCGTTACCTCACAGAGACTCCTTCACAGCAAGTGACTTTGCAAAATTACAACCAGTTAATTTGGACTAAATTTAGGGAAATCCCTCCATCCCCTTCTCCCTCACACACAAACACACACGCACGCACACACGCACACACGCACGCACACTCACTCTCTCTCTCTCTCACACACACACACACACACACACACACACACACACACACACACAGGTATGAGTAGCATCTGGTATTCAAGGGCGCGGAATGAGTTTCTGGATCACATCTCTTTCAGTTTTTGCAGCAGAGTTGCACTAAAATGTTATGGTTCCGCCAACGTGACGCTTTGTTTTTAATTCTGCTCACATCCATTAAAGCCAGCACGTGTTGTATCAAAACTACGTGCCTCTCCATTTCCTGAAGGTGTGAACGACTGCATTATCTGAAATTCTAATTCAATATTGTATTTCAGTACAGCTGCACCTGACAGTGTATTTTTTTTCTTTCACCGATTCGTACGTGCTCCGAAACTTTTTTCATCCAAACATTACAGCGTTTGTTTTCTTCGGGAAAACTGAAGAAGAATGTAAACTCTGGAATTAATTTTGCGAGAATCCAAAATTTCTGCGACATTTAGGAGAGCATTTTATGGACACTCTATAGTGGGTTAACTCGAAAATTAAATTTCTGGCAACACTTATACCAGACTGGTCGTGCTTTGGAACTTGATGTCTTTCACACTTGTTTTTCTTTCTCTTTTTTTTAATAAACCCTGAGTTTTCAAGACATATTTTGAGCAAAAATTTCACATAAATGTAGATGTTTTCCCTTTTTACCATTAAAGAGGGCGTTCTTTTTGATAAACAAACCTTAACTATATAAATTAACATAATCATATGATAGCATCGTCTCTCCCTTGGGAGTGGATGTCTCCCTTGGGAGTGGATGTCTCTATAAAATTTTGAACGGAGACGAACTGCCCACAGGTTGATATTCTCGGCGGCGCTTTCAGGGAACACCGATGACCAGAGAGGCTGCCTATATGAAAGAGGTAATGATCTCTTTGGTTAGGTGGAAAATGAGGAGTGTGGAAAGTGCGGAGTGCGGGGGTTTGGAAAATGCAGAGTGTGGAAAGTGCGGAGTGCGCACTTTCCACACTCCGCGGTTTTCACCTCACCTATCTCTTTTTTTTTTTTCCTTTATATGTGTTGCATTTCTCACTTGTCTGTAGTAGAGGCCTGATGTTTGTCTGGCACTACGTCCAGTTTGGGTAGCCTTTATCTTGGATTTTTTAAACAGCGGAGGATTGGGGGAGGAAAGGAATTTTCCCTGATGGGGTGATCGACAGGCAAAAGCCTTGGGGCGCCAAATTGCGCTTACCCGCTCGTGAGTTACATCTAAAAGTATTTACAATAGACCAGCAATTAAACTGGTTCTCCTCACGGTTTTCTGTAACAGCAGCTGATGAAATTCACCCTGTTTTACTCTCGCCATCCTGAAGAAGATCCCTTTTGGACATTACTGACACTACTTAAAGTACTCTAATCCCGCCCTGGCCCCCCTTCCCCACTCCAGATCGTTTCTCTCCTTCTTTGCTGAGGCAAAGTATCATATCTCGCGTCTATCCTTTGGATGATCAATTTTAGGAAGCCTCTCTCCTAATATCTGATAACTGATGTCAAAATTTTTCAACTCCAGATTGCGTTACTACATGTTTGCTTCAGGACAGATAATTCAAACAGTTTTGAAATGTTTAATGTTTTGGGCGTATTTTCCCGCGCGGTATTCAGGTGATAAAAGAGCTTCGTTAAAAAAAATAAAAAGTTAAAGAAAGCAAGAAGGAAAAATGAATTTCGTCTAGCGTCTAACTCAAACAAAGGATTTCAAGCAAACTATCGGAAATTTTTTTTTTCTGAAAACGTCCGCCAATAGTCAAGCAATTTCAGCTGTCGAACCAGAAGAAACAGTAATAGTAATTAGCTTTAGTTTCCACCTGAACGCGTCTCATTTCTGGAAATCTGGCTCAAGCTTTAACCTTTCAGACAGTATGGGCCGCCGGTAGAGGATAGGTGTATATTAACAAAAGGCCTGTAAAAGTTTACAGTCACACTTTTCTCTCAGCAGAGAGAGATAAGAAGAATTTTTACAGACTCATTTCTTCTGCCTGTCCGAAGAATATACGCACCCTTTTTCGTCTTGTTGCGTAATAATGTAGACGGTAGACTCTTGTTCACTGTATACTGTCTATGCGATAATGTAAATCGCGTGAGCGTGGTTCCACGACTATTACATGAGAGCAAATCTGCAAGATAAGATCTCTTTCTGGACATACTGTTTCTTTTGGTTAGTTGTACTTTTGCTTCTTTTTACAACGCGAAAAAGCAAGCATACAGTGCGCATACAAAAACACCAGAAGGCAAAAGTTAAAATTTTTAACCCTTGATTTGCGCGTAACTGACCCGTCAACAGTTAACACTTGACAATGTTCATACGATCGAAGAAAAGCGAGGGAAAATAAAACAGTGAGCAGAGTGACCAAGAACGGTCAATTTTCTGACAGAAATCAAGTAATCTCAAAGGCGTTTGAAATATAATTCATTCACTATCTTTTATCCCGTGGAAAGACTTAAAGAGGCATTTAAGATCTGTTATCGGTATCGTTTATTTAGATCCTATGTAAAAACGTGCTCCTGGCGAAAATCCGGAGATTTCCATACCATCGTCCGTCTAGACAGCGTACGACAAAGCGTAAACATTATGCTTTTCATCTAAATCACTGGAAAATTACGATTGTTACTGTATTCCGCAAAAACCCAAAGAAGCACGTGTTCTCGGCTTCCAAGCATAAAACATGTCCTGATGAGGCCAATGGTATATCTATCGTATATCTTGCATGGAACTATTCCTTTGTTATACAATCATGGTTCGTAAAACTTCAGACAAACAAAATTCAAGGACTTTTCAAGGACAAAAAGTGGTTTTCAAGGACTAATTTTTATTCATAAATCTAAACCATTTACGATTGAATACACATTTGCCCATCGCTCAATTAAATTGAAAACAAAGGGAAATGAAAAATTCATCGACCAAAACATAGCCAAACCACATGTTTACGTTGCCCCTTAAAACAAAAGCACATGGTGGACTGCCCCACATCGGAGGCCTTGCACATGAAATTGAGGCACAGATCCAACTTTGCTTCCTGTACCACTCATGTTTTATACCGACCATTTTCGCTTTTTGGTAGTTACTAGTGGACAAATTTTCCATAGCAAAATCGTTTAATTTATCAGAAAAGCGATAAGGCGCACAGAAGTTGCTAAGTTTCAAGGGCTTTTCATGACCTACTAAGGAAATCAAGTACTTTTCAAGGACTTAACAAAATTCAAGGACTTTTCAAGACGACCGTTAAAATTCAAGACCTTTTCAAGATTGTAAGAACCATGTACAATAAACTTTCGAAAAACTCATGGTAGAGGGAAGAGAGGTCGGTTGTAATTTCGTACTATTTGATTTCTCGTTTACCTTCGGCCCTGTACCCTCCCCCTGCCCGTACCCTTCTATTTAATCCCATCGCTTCCTGTCCCCAGTCCGTCCTCAGTGTCTCCATTTAAAATAGAAACTTTGAGCTCGGTCGCGCGTTATAGAGGTGCCAAACGGATTTTCGTTCCTCTGAATTTGCTTTGATTTAATGTCACAAATGAAAATACTTTATAAATTATAATTTCCTAAAAATTTCGAGATAAATTGATAGCTCCGCATTCTTGTTGAAATCTCATGTTTTAAAGAAACCAATTATCACGTCTAAAGTAAGATTGACCCTTTTTGAAAGCATAAAACTAAGTGAAAACTGATTAATTTTTTCAGGTTATAAAACTTCGTTACGTTTACGTCTAAGTCACATTTTCACAAGAATTTTTAAGAATAAAAGTACCGAAGTCTGCCTTCATTAGCCTTCATTAGCCTTCATCAATGGGCCTCCTCTAGAATGGCTTAAATATTCAGTTCTCCGTTAAAAATATTTCTTGTTATATTCTATACGAAAAGATGGAATTTATATAGTAACAGCACAATTACTCTTCTGCAGAACTTTCCATAGCTAGTTCTACAGTAAGCTAAATCACGTTCGTAAGTTGATTGGTTCTTTCTCAGTTATGATCTATTGGAGGACAGACGCATAGATGACGTCACCATTAACAATTTTCTGCTTCTTTATCATACAAAATAGACTCCATGTTGCTGTGTGTCTGTAAAATAACAGATCACAAAGGGCATTAAAATTGTGATTAAAATCTGTGACACTGCGCCTAACAAGCCAACCTCGTTCTCATCTTCCCGCCCCCTTGAGCGGGGCGGGAAGATGAGAGACCCTGGGAACGAGGTTACTTATGAGCTCCTTAATTGTTCTTACCACATTTTGACATCATCTGTGATCAACTCAACAGACGCACAGAAACATGGGATACATTTGTTACACTGATATGATCGAAATATATCATGTTAAAGAACATTTCCTTGTTAGGCATATTCCCTATTGTTATCACAACCCTCAATTTAAATTGTGTGGGAATTTTTCAAACGCTCCCTGCAAATCCTGCTAATGAGCTGACATTTCGCGATCACAATTCCATTCCGCCACAGTTGACAGCTATCTTCATCTGGTAAGACAAGTGCTTTATCTGATGAACTATCCCAGAGTTTTGCGCAGATCTTGGTTTCGACAACTGTCCTCGTGCTTCGCCAGGAAGGTTTACGTTGGAAAATGTGGCAGAGCGATCACTTCAAATTCATCTTCATCCTGTAGAGAATAATAAAAAGACAATTTTATTTTCTAAAAGTTGCGATCGTTTGACTGGACACAAATTCACGATCGCGCCGCCGCCTGTTACGTTTCACTTTCTGGAGTCCTCTTCCAAATTCTTTGGCGCTTTCGGTTGGCGCTGCATATTTCTGCCCGAATAATGACCCAACTATTACGACACAAACATCCCTCCGTTAACACAACAACTCTCTAGATCTGATTGTTCATTCTCCCCTCTAGCTGCTACATATTTCCTTTTAAATTGGTTACGAGAATTTGGTGTTAGATCAAGACTACCAACTTCTACCTGATAAGCTTGAGTATTCTCATTACCCTTTTTCCTGGATAGTGGAGGAATATTATAGGGAAAAGCTACATGTTAATCCCTTCTGGAAGTTGAAGGGTTAATCGACCCGACCCACGCCTCCCGCTTTTTTTCGCTCCGCCGCTAATATCGCGCTCTTTATTTTGTCGCTTCCTTTTGCTAACTAAACGCGTAGAACAGGCTACCCAACTAATAACACATTCGTTACCTGGGGACTTTCTAATGGTTTTAACGTCGAAAAAATTAAGCTATTCGTTGACGCTTTGGTAAAATGGCTTTCCAGTTAAGTTACTGAAACTTTAGAGAAAAGCTTGACGAATTCTTGAAGACATTAAACGGTCATAAACGTGTTCAACGAAGCAATTTAAACGTCTCTTAACGTTACAAAGTTTGTATTTAAAATTGACATAACCATTTCACAACAACAACAAAAACGGAACTAATCTCAGTTACAACATAACAAAGGACCAACTAACCTCTTCGTCCACTTGTCTGATGTTTTGTTGAAAGCAGTTCTCACACACTCTTTCAGGATTCATGTAACCGAACTGAGGAAGGCGAATTTTCTGTTTTGAACACTCACTGCAGAATACTTGACCACATGCTCTGCAAAGAAAAAGTATCAATAATTATTAATAAATTTTCGGATCTCCCTGTAAAAACTTTCTTGAACTTTCTCCGCCTCATTACAGTAAAAAGCGACGGGCGGGATTCTCTGTCTAAAACGCACTGGACGTAAAGTGCTCAAACAGAGTAATTTTCAACTGAGTGTCGAAGGAAAACTAGGATTGCACTGACTTTGCTTCACTGCGATCTGTTTTGTGTGGTCACTAAAACTCGCGTCACCCTCGCCAATAATCGAACCACTCACACGCGATTTCCTTCGTATCAGGGAGTTTGCCTGTTCTTACTTTCATTTGACTTCTTAACAGCTCATCGATCGCGATTTTTTAAAATCATTCTGAGTCGTCCTTGAGAATTCTTTGGTTTGGTTTCACGACAATTAATTCTTCACTTAGTTCTTCTGTTTTGACCAAGCAGATAGTGCACGCTTGAATTCTACCGGCTCTAATGGTCGCCTCTTCGGGGACAAGCCAGTCCCTCATAGGAATCGAGAATAGCCGACTGACGGCGAATTACAAAAAAGCAACACAAGGTCATTCTTAAATGAAAGTTATCATAATACGTTAGGACACAAGTCACATGCACTCTATACACTGCTTAGTTATTTGCTTTTGACCTTGAGTAACGATTAAGGGATTACTCTCAAAGGGTAATGAACTCTCACCTGCAGTGATGCTATCCAGCGGACGTCACAAAGTGAGAGAGAAAGAGAAATAAACGTAAATGATTACGAAGAAATTTTGAAAAGAACTGGATGTTAATGGAGAAACATTTATTAACCCTAAGCAATATAGGAAAACATCTTAATAAGAGTCAGAAACCTGAAGGGTTATTTATTGTTACCCAAAGTTCAGTGTAAGTTCTTGGTTTATTTTCACGGCTTTGTAAAGAAAGTCAGTGTTTACATTTTGTTTCCTCCAGTTTTGTAGCATTTATTCCAAAGACAGGCACCCACCGAAGTTTTGAGTTTAAAAGTTCTTTTCGTAGGTTTTAAAAGAAGGGCACGTCTGTAAGTAAGGAGAATAACGGAGCGAACCTACATACCTTTCTCCTGAACTGAGTGAATCTTTGCTTACAATCGGCACATTCCCGCGCTCGCTCATCCGGAACCCATATGACTGAGTCCAGCGGCTTGGTAACCATCGGCTGAAATGATCAAATGAAATAAAGTCAATAAACTACGATCAATCCATCTTGTTGCCTTTTTTTATTTACGCTCGAGCGTGGCCAAAATGTTCTTGACTTTCACAACGTCAGGCATACGACTGTACAATGTACGGAATGTTTATTTCCTCCGAGGTATCTGTTTCGCAATTCCATCGATTTTTCGGCTCCCTCTTACTATCCGAGACATGCCCTTACCTCTGTGTCCCCCTCGTCATCCTGGATGGCCGGATCCTGAGTGGACCAAGCTGTCTCGTCGAATCTTAGGAAGTAATCTACCCACAGCTGAAGTCTTCTTGGGTTGGACACGGGAAATAATGTCTACAAAGGGAAAGGACAAGAAAATATGAAAGTGGCTGAGCTAAAATAATAATAATAATAATAATAATAATAATAATAATAATAATAATAATAATAATAATAATAATAATAAGGAAGGAGACGACGAAGAAGAGGAAGAACTAGAACAATAACAACAAGAGAGATGGTCCGACAAATGGTCGGCTCGAAAATAGCCTCCAGGTAAAAAGTGGATAGGTTCGACGACAAATAATTATCTGTAACATCTCGTCCTGCTTTTTCTTTGCTTTTTTTCTTTTTCTTTGACCTATTTTAGGAGTGTTCTGATGCCACATTTCGGAAAGTCAAGACTTTCACTTCCACAAGGTATTTTAACTTAAAGAGTTAAAAACCTTTTAGAAAGTAAAAAATTTTGAAAGTCAAAATCCCTCAATTCCTTCGAAAGCGTGTGGTGTTTTAAAACCACAAGCCCAGGAAATAACATGCTGAGGAACATACTAATAAAGGAACATACATCTCACTGCTTAAAAAAGCGGTGAGTAGCATGTGAGGGACGTTCCTCTTGAAAACAGTTCCGGTGCGTAAATAACGTTTTCTAATCTTACCTCGTTATATTTCCTGTAAGTTGGATTCCGGAAGGAGTCTTCATCCGCTCTTAAATGAGCCCATAGTGATAAGGTTAAAGTTGATACTAGCATTTTTTTTCGGTCGTTCATGTTATTACAAAGAAAATTTCCAAACCTTCAAAAGAAAAACACTTTAATCAGGATACAAGATATTGGCTATGGCAGGAGACAAAAATCTTTAATGAAAGGAGAACATGTCGGGGAGGGGGAAGTTTACAGAGAAAGGTTTGTAGAAAGGGAGGAGGGAGGAGAGGGTGGGATAAGGGGGAGGGGAGGGGAAAGAAACAGCAAATGGGTGAGGGGAAGAAAACATTCCACGTGACAAACAAATAACAAATACTTACCATTGCGAATTAACCTGTTCTGCTATTCTAACTAAATACAGCGGAGTAAATTCAAAAGCACTAGGAAACTGTTGCACAATCTGAAAGGCAGAAAACAAGCAGAAGTAAATTAGTAACTAAAGAGAATGTAAGAGGTTTGTTCTTAAGGCTACCCAATAATCATGTGACAAACCGAGTCAAAGGCAAACAGTACCAACAAGCGAAGACAAATGAAAAGACACTGATGATCCACTCAATCGCATAATTAACGAACAATCGTTACCACGAAATTTAAAGGCAACTAGTAAGGTTGAGAAAGGACAAATAAAAGGAGGGAAACACATATTAGTGAGTATCAAAAATACATAACCAAACAAACATTTAGCAATAAATTAATCGACTGACCTGCCACACACAATCCAAGAACTGTAAAAACACGGGCGACCGCTGACTAGGACATGTTGGATGACCGAGCCGATCACGGAACCGGTGACCAAAAGATATCCACTCCTTTTCTATGAGAACCTTAAATTGGAGGCATTCAAAGTTATTTTGAACTCTTTTAAAGGGGATGTATGCTCCAAGAGGCATTTAATTATGTTTTTCGCGATTAAAAAAACCACTGTTTTTTTAATTTTGTTTTTTCAAAATAAAATGTTGGAGTATGACATTTGTACCTGGAATCCTGTTATTGTTCTGTAAAACGGATCCAATAGGAGTTGAGCTAATGACGTCAGCTGTGACGTTCGATCCCACCCGTCACTGCAGTGCACCACGGCAGCGGCTCCCTTATCAACAAACCGTGCTAACGTCACGGCACCCTGGAGCAAACAAGCAAACGCAATAAACTAACAGTTGAAAGCTGAAAAAAATGTAATCCCAATAAAAACCACCCCTGAACATAACATCGCAAAGACCCCCACGGGTGGAATAAAGTGTCATTAAATTGTCAAAATTATCTTTTAAGTTAAAACTTATTGGCACAAAGAGGAAGTAAGTATTGAGTGTGAGAAAATCGAAATGGAGAACCGCTTTTTTGAAATTGGAATTTCATGCGCGCCGCCATGTTGGATCGTAAGACCACTATAGAGAGGGCCGGATTTTTTGTGTGTGTACGCCGGCCGGCTTTTCTTCCTTTTGTGTTTACTTTTTTACCCAAAATAAGGGGGAGGGGGGGCAGCCCCCCTGGACCTTTCTCCTAGATCCGCCACTGGATACTATCAGTGTATCAGTACTAAGACAATGGAAAGACGTCAAGAAAAAAAAAAAAAGAGATTGTGTAACTTAATTAGGCAACACAGTACCTTTAGAATACAAGTGATGTAGGCCAACCACTGGGTGGATTCCAAATGGGAAAGCCATTTCTTCTGTGCCGAAGACTCACAGACACCTTGCAGTCTGTACAAACTATCTCTCACAGCATGAATATTAGGAATATCAAGGAACAATAGCTGACAGCCTTGATAGCGGTTTATGGTGTCCTCCGTTCCTTTTCCCTGTGACAAAGACGTAATTATGTGAGTAAATAGTAGGAAGACAGCTAAAAATATATCTCGTAAGCAGGGATGATCATGATCAAGAAACACAACAACAAGAAAGCGATAGGACAGCGGGTCGCTGAGGGAATACATCATCGAATGCTTTAATCACAGCGAAGCATAATGTTTAAGCCAAATGGCTCTAAAGCTGACGCGTTCCAGTCAACAGGCGTTCAAATTCTCAACTTACTTTCAACATGTTTCCACCAGCAGCAAACATCGACCTTGCATCAAAGATAACCAGCTTGTCTGCAAATTTGTTACACTTTCTAGCAGTGCTAATGACAGATTCATCATCAACTGAGTTCTGAAAGAAGATAACATGAAATTGAGGAAAGGAGCAGTTCGTCTAAATGTCCTCGTTTGTATGTCTATCTGTCTGTCTTTCTTTCCGTGTCTGTTTGTCGGTCTGCCTATCTGTCTGTTTCTCTGTGTGCCTTTATGTCTGTCTGTCTGTCAGTCTACGTGACTATCTGTCTGTCTGCCTCTGCCTGTCTATCTGTCTGCCTGTCCGTCAGTCTTCCTGACCACTTGTCTGTCTGTCTCTCCCTGAGCCTTTACGTCTGTCTGTTTATCTGTGAGTCTCTGCGTGACTATCTGTTTGCCTGCTTGTCTGTCAGTCAGTCACTCTGTCTGTCAATCTGTCTGTCAGTCTGGCGGTTTAAAACTTTCAGTTCATAATCAACTATATGTTACCCGCCAGTGCATCACAATATTTTTTTTTTAAGAAATCGCCTGTCTATCTATCTATCATTCATTTTACAGCTATATCCTTCTCAGTGACATTAAAAGGCAAATATCTGAAAACAAATGAATCCATCCTAGAGTCCAACTGTAAAAGTCGAACGAGCTCTTTTAAGTGGATAGCCAGTGAGAGAGCGACGAGTTGACTCACGTAAAGGTCCTAGACTAAAAAGATTGAGGGACTGCAATTTAAGACAATAAACTAAATTCTGTCTTCTTATTAGTCAATTTGGGTAGAACACCACAGTCAGGCAAAGGTGTCACGGCGCGTTCGGTTTCATTGAGTGGCTACGCTACCAACTTTCCATGTAGCTTCCGTTTAGAAACTACCCTTGATACTTGGACATGGAGTTCTTTTGAGAGATATAAAATAATCATGTTTTCCAAGCGTCTTCCTTTTCACCCACTTGACAACAAAAAGTCTACCTAACATATTACCTTAAAAGCAGGTCCAGTCTTTGGCTGTGCACAGCGCATAATAAAATTCCCCTTTTTAAAATTGTACCAACAAAGGACTGGAAGACGACCCTGTTACAAAACAAATACGGACACACTTGTGAGCATCTTGAAAAGGAAATGATCGCTAACTAAAGAAGCTCTTGATTCAGTGTTTAGTAAATTCTCCTTGTAAGTACCATAGGAAATCTATTGAAAAAGGTATGGAGAATATACGCGCTGATGTTAGCACCACACCTATTAAAAGTTAGTAAGGACCAGTTATGAGAAAAAGACCTAGTTGATTACTACACAAAACTCTAGGGAAATTTCTACTATTTCCAGACGAGCAAAACTCATTTCCTTTCCCTAACCTCAGTCCTCCCCGAATATATGTGTGGCTATTAGAGCGGCCACGAAGTAACATTTTGGTCGAGTGAGGGCGAAATAAACACTAAAGAAACACGAAATACAAAGATACACGTTTCAACTTCAAGTGGCCCAACGGCGTTGTAAGACAACAATACAACTGTATCTTTTAGCTTGAATAGCCATCGTTCTTACTAATCCGTGCAACGCCGGATTGTATCAAGGAAAAAAATTAAACACTATATTGATTAATTAACTAACTTACTTTGCTACGAAATGCAGCACACTCTTTCAGAGTAGAATCCTATTGAGAAAGATTATGAAAAATTAACATCGGTTTGGCCAAACGAAATCTTAACGTGGAGCTAACGACTTTTCTCAGGATGCTTTCGACTTCGTAGAAACCACTACGCTGTTCGTGTGCGGGTTGGTGGGACACCTTCACCACTAGCCCAAATGTTTTTTTTCTTGAATTTAATCTTAATTCCCTTTCCTTAACTCCCGGGGTACTCCCCTATAAGGGCCTTATGGCGACGTGGGGCCAGCCAGGGTATGTTTTTCGAGATTTTTGTCTTAAACAGGGTATCGAATTTATCATTTTTGGTGTTAATCAGGGTATCGATTTATCAATTTTTTTCTTAAACAGGATATCTTTTCTTGGAAGATAAACAGCAAAATTTTTACAAGCTCTAATTTTAATTAAAATTGAATTCCGTTGATTTTGGCATTGATACCAGGAACGTTAAATGTCTTAAACAGAGTATCAAAAATCTGAATTCTGTCTTAAACAGGGTAGGAAAATCAGTGATATTTGTCTTAAACAGGGTCAGGGTATGAGGGGCCATGCCGCACCTCCCCACCCAGGAATATATCGAGTGCCCCACCGGGCCTTAACTATTCTTGTTAGTTTTTGGTTGTTATCACTTCGGGAGTGTTCTTTTTCTTCTCATTACCTAATTCTAATAAACAGGGTTCTTGTCGATTTGGTTTGATTCACTGAATAAGTTGAATTTCATTCAATCAGACAAACGGGAATCTCTTCTCTCCATTTAGCCCTCCGAAAAGGCTCTCCAGAGTTGTATTTTCCAACAAAAGCCGGCTTATAGTTCAGTGTAAACGGACGAAAGTGGAGGTTTTCGAAGACGTGTGGACCAACGAGAACATTTTCAATACGCTTGAGTGGACGCCTACAATTTTAACGTTGTTAACGCTAAGAACGGAGTCTCATTGAGACATTTCAGACAGTGTATTATTTCCTTTACCTGTATTTCTGCAGGAACATAAAAAAGTGGCGGGTACGAGGAGCAAAGGAGAAACTCTTGGTTGATCACACTTACACGCCATTTGTCAGAGACCTAAAGTAACATTAAAGGAGAACAAACATTTCATCTACATGTACGAATCATCACATCACCATGTTGGGCCCATCAAAACATTTTGAATTGATTTAGGACATCTTCCACTGGAACTACATGGTGGACTTAAGCGTCTGCAGCCACAAAAAGTGACTGGGAGTTTTGTGTTAGTTTTTTTTTTCCTCAGTTAAACGTTACTCTGATACCACGACGTGGTGACTGCAAAATGGTGTCCATAAAAAGGAAAGTGGGACGGCGTTGTGTCAAGTTCCTCTTTGATAAATGAATTTTCAGTAAAGAATATGGATTGTTATGGGAGGGTTGAACTGTTAAGAAGTGTTCGTCACATCGGAATTTCTCTAAACTAAAAAAATATTTCACTGATGAAAAGTGTTTCATATCTGTCACATCAGGTTCCTGTTTCAAACGTTTTCTTAACGATGCGATGAATACTTGGCACAATCCATTGTAAAGGCATCATTGTTACAAAGTGGTTTATTCAACCAAGATCCAGTTTTCATTGTCAAGGAAGAGATCTACCCCGGTTATCCCGTTTGGGATCAAAACGTGGACAAACCTGCTGCCTTGCAAACTCCTCATGGAAGTCATACACACTCCAGCCGCTTAGTTCTGTGTCCCTTGGCAGTGTTCTGGGGGAGAAAAAGTCACAAAACTACTACACCAAAATGATCTTTTAGCGAGAATAATAATAATACCTCAGTCGATATAATTATCTCGTATTTTCTTGTCGCCTACCACAGTGGTTCGTTTACTTTATTGAAAAACCCAAGCTGCCGCAGAGGGACAGAAAGTGGTTATGATAGGAGTTGGGAGGGCCTGGGGAGAGACAACCTAACCATACCTAACTCCCTCCATCAAATCATCGTAAATATGTATTTATTTCCTTTCTCTTTCTTTTCTTTTCTTTTTNGGGGGAAGGGGCGCTATTTCTCCATCGACTCCTTAGGTTCCGGAGAACTCTAAAAGAATTATATAGCTAACTTTTTGAAAATTCTTCGACAGAAGAAATTCCGCTGACTTGATTAATTTACGCTAACACTAAACTATTACTGTCTTCATCTTTGATAAAGACTGCGGCTGGCACCGAACGCGAAGGAAATTCGTTTTGTGATGTTAACCCTTAAGTTGGTAACACAATACTTTTTTTTGTCACAAACGAAGACACTACATCAACTGGAAAAAATCCCAATCTGAAGCAAAAGACCTCGGGAGTAAAATAGTCAGTTACAAGTAATCTAATATTACTCTGTTTGCACCACTGCAGACAATTACGCAGTAACTTTACTAGCTGGGGGCCGTGCGTATTCTAAAATTCTCACTGTGTGACTGTTTCACACAAACGAGTTCAATGATGACCGTGACTGGTATGATAATATCGACGGAAATTCACTTACTTAACAAAGTGCAGCGACGGAGGATTGTCGACAGCATTCAAGGCCAGGTACTCTAATCTTTGATAAAACACATTTATGTAAAGATTTAAAAATCTGCAAAAGAAAAAAAAAGAGAACAAAACTATTTAACAAGTTGTTGCAAAATTGTTGGAACACTGTGCCTAAACAAGAGCGCTCTATCATCAATAGAGTGCTTTTTTATTGAATTTCATGAGACCAAAACCAAAGTAATCACAACAGCCAATCAGAACAAAGGAAAATATCGCAGGGAGCCAATGAGAACTCAAAGTAAAAACAGGCAAATTTCCTGAAGCGTGAGAAAACGCGGGCGACCATATCTCGTGTGGTTAAAGTTTTGAATCTGATTGGTCAAGAAAGTAGCGCAAGTTTTACGGACCAATCACGGAGCAAAGAAAGCAAAACCCCAGCAATCTCGGGTTACTTTCGACATTCATTTGAAAATTGCTTATTAGGCAGACAAAAACGTAGACATTGTTCCCTCTCCCCTTTTCGTACGTAATAGTGTAAGTTAATGACATGGTGTTATAACGTTAGCCAAGACGAAGCTCTCAAACCGTCAAACGGAGAACATTTCCTCTGACAACGACAGCCGCCTTTCATCGTCTGCTCACTCGTCGCTCCTCTCCACCAACTGAGGGCCAGCAACAGGTTGTGGAACGTAAGAGATTTTTATCAGGGAGGGGGGGATTGGGGGATGGGGGGAGTTGTAGGGATCCGTGAATGGACACGATCACGGAGAAACCGTTTTTAGCCTCTTCAAGATTTGTTTAGGAACTGTTTGTACATCGAATGAAATTATTTCTCTATATACTCACGTGGACGCTGGTATCAACTCAGTCTTCAATCTCTCCGACGCATTACTTAATGGTCCTACACCACTGAGAGCCGCCGCTAATAATCCTGGACCCAACACCCCTGAGCTACCTTGAGGAACAAGCTGCGGACCATCAGACCCATGTGAGCTGACACCCGCCACACTGCTACTACTACTACTACTACTGCGTGACAGGATCTGGAAACTGCTGCAACTGCTAGGTCGTGTGAGGTTACCTGTGGAGTCATTTGGCACGAGAAGGTCTGTTGGTTGAGACTGACCTGAAGGCTGCTTCCCTGTTGTACATATTGTATTCTCAGCGTCAAGGTAAACAATATCTTTAGAAACGGCCATTAAGAAGAAAGGGAGATGATCCAGGGAGCCGATGAAAACTCGAAAAAGGGTGGGGAAACGTGAGTGACCAAGCGCGCCTGGTTTTAATTATGTATTTGATTGGTTGGGGGAGTAGCACAAATTTTCCCAACCAATCACAGAGCATAGTTAAGCAAAACCAATGCAATCCCGGATTATGTTGAAAACTGCTCTAGGAGAGATGTGAATCATCTCAACCCAGGAACGTGAGATAAAGAAGTTCTGGATTCTCAGTGAGTATCTGAATCGAATTAGTCTATCGTTTACTGGTGGAACACAATGCTTCGTCGTGGACTAAAGACGGTAATTTTGCCGCATTTTGATTAACGGGATATTTCTAGAATGGAAAAGTACTTTGGCAGATCAAAGAAAAACCGTTTTCCAAAACTACGGTTGTCTCACCTTCAGTGCCCTCCCCTTCCGAACCTATTGACGGCAGGCTTGAGTCTTTGATACACTCTGCACTGTTGGGTTGCAATGAAGCAAGAATGGAATCTGGACTGGACTGCATACTTCCTGGCTCCGGAGGCAAATAAAAGCTTTGCAAATATTGAGGTTTTCTCATGAAGATTAGCCGGATGGTACGGAAATCCCAACATCGTATAGTCAGGGTCTTCACATCAGAGACACCAGCATTGCCTCTAACAGTCCTTGAAACAACCTGAGCGGAAGACAGAAGAGAGGGGTTATGTGTTTAAGCATTCAGAGTGCTAATACGGACTTTAAGCAAACCACGACGGCTACGGCCACGGCAACGAGAACGTGGAAAAACAATTGATCTAATTGGTAGAACAATAGCCCAGCACGTGTGTTTTAAAACTTTGTACATTGCTTGGCCGTCCTTTACAAAACAACAACGCGAAATCCCCAAAATTGCGTCGTCTGCGAAGCGAAACCGCGGCGGCAAATTATTTTAATTTTAATTTGGAACTCAACGCTACTTTTATGCGTTACGTTGAGTTTGAAGTCTGGCGCCTTATGAGACGGTAAACACATGCAGCCATTTTCGAAATTCTAACTAAAAGAAGAAACTCCTTTTTTTAATCGACGCCTTCCGTGCCGTTGCCGTCCTGGCTGCTTAAAGTCCCTATTATGTTTTGTATCAAGGCCGGTACTTGCTTATTGAAAGGAAACTTCGTTTTTAACCTTACGTACGACAAATGTAGATTTGATGGCGACTTCTTTGTTCGCCAGTAATTTGGATGCCAGCGTGGAGAGGGGTGCAAGGACTGTTTTTTTTTTCCTGACAAAATGGTGCCATTTCTCTATTCTTTGGGCCTGTTTTTTTCTTTTTCTTTCCCCAGGGACTCCTCTCTAATTTAGATTTCTTTTTTTTTTTAATCCATGAGAAAAGATTTTCCACTAGCAGGGAACTTTCGCGTGTGAATTTTGTCAAGTGCGCGATTAAACAAAATATGCAAATAACATGAAATTGCCGCGAATATTCC